AACTTTATTCTTATATTGTTGCCTTAAAATTCCGCGTAATTGTTCAAATACCGTACAAGCAAACATTTTATGCTTCGTTAATAGATTTGTATAAAAAAAGAGCAATAATCATGCTTATCCTGTTACATAAAGGATCAAATAGATCATTTCTGAGAAAACAGTCTATACAGAGTGATCCATCTAATTATAACCACTTCAATTATTTTTGTTATCAACAAACTAATAGTTCGTATAGAGAATACTGTTCAAAGTATATTCAAAATAATTATCTAAAATTATTTTTATATGTTTCATTTTTCATTAAGTTTTCAAAGTCATCTTTAATTTTATTATACTCTTCACCCTGAAGAATCTTTAAAATCTATAAAAAAAACAATTCTAATTAGTCTTCTGATAACAAAAATAGTTGAGATAAATATGAATGAAACGAAACGCTCCGTCGCACGAAACGATACTCCTGTATATCGGTCGTCGTAGTCGCCGAGACGGTACATTATTCCATTCGGTGGTCGCACGAAAGGAAAAGTTACGAGCGGGAAGAAAAATTGCGGCAAAGGTACGGAGCTCACCCAGCGCGATCACGCGCGCACGTGTACGTATACGCGCAAGTTAAATCCTTACCTCCTGCACGCCCCTCGTTCGTCCTCTACGGTCGACTATCCGTCTCCTCTTCCAGCTTCCTCGAAAGGATATTTCTTCCCTTGTCGCGTTACCTGTGCGTGCGCTGATCCGCGCCCGCGCCACCCCATCCTTCCCGCTCTTCGCCGCTTGTACGCGGCGCGTATATATTTCAGCAGCGCTCCAGTACCCCGCGGGCGGTCCCCGAAAGTTTGCCGATTTAAGGATCGGAAGGGACATAAATTGAAAGTAATGGCTCGGTGTGTACGCGTCAGGTCGGACGTGGACGTGCAACGGGGTAGAACGACCGAGACGTCTCTCGCAGCGGCGGTTCCGACCCGACGGTGCAAACGTTGTCCTATCACGAAACATGCCCGTCTTTTCTGCTTCGCGTAGCCGAGATGACTCGTACCAATTCGATCGCGCGTGCTCCGATCGCTACGCACGGCAGCTTGTAAAACAAGCATGGTACTCGGGCCATGCGTCGAACGGAATCGGTCCACGAAGAACACCGGCTGATGGGGAGGAAAAAGGAAGCGAGCAGCAAGGAGCTCCTCCTCGCGATACGAAAAGAGACGAAGAGAAAGGAGAAGAGCATCCGTAGCCGTGGGCGCGATAAGGTGTCTCGAGCCCCAGGTGGTGGCCAACCACCTACTGGGAGTTAAGAACTCTAAATTACGCGTGGACATGGGTTTATGTCTTCATCGGTTACAGCCAACGACCGGTCTCCGAGCAACTGACGTTCCGGTTATTCCCGAAGCTTTATTATTATATATTTCTCGCTTTTCCCCCGTAACCCGTGAATAAATTACCGCGTTAGGAAAAAAGGGAACAGAAAAGAAGAGGAAGTAGTAAGAGACTCATAGTTACCATGAACATACGGAGATCAAGTCGAGCGAACGTTCAATGAAAAATTAAATGTAGCCTTTTCTGTATGGCGCTTTTTATTCCGAAGGTAATTAACAGGCAGCGCAGAGTACGGGTTAATTAATTATTTTCAAACTGGCCGGGATACACGTGTTTCACGCACGTCTTTTTTTTTTTTGCTTGCGTTCCATGCTTTAATCGAAACAATCCTGAAAAGCTTTCGTTAGCCTTTTATTACTGTGTTATGGGATATTAAAATTGTTTTCTAAAGTAATTCTCACTCTAGAAGTGTGTATTGTTTAAATGGGGTGAAATAATTTTTTTTATGGAAAACCTTGTTTTTGAAGTATCTAATATAGCAAGCAAGCCATAATATTACTATAAATGATAAAAAAAGTCTATTTTCTCAAACATAAAGTCCTAATATGAATTTTAATATAAATTTTAATCTAAATTTTCAACTTAATTTTGCACAAAAAATTTCATTTCCTTTTGTACCATCTATTACATAAAGAATCAAAGATATTAGAGCGTATGAAAAAATGGGTATCATAACATAAAATAATATAGAAGCTTGAGTCAGTCGGAGGCCGAGGAAAACTGGCCAACTTTCTTACGGGGAAACGCCTTTAACATAACCTAATATCCTAACGCGGTTCGGTCATTTCCTGGTGGCCATATAACCGTCCCTAAAGCGAGTCTCCGGGGAGAATTTTGTCAAAGGATCTTTATTCTACGTTGACGTATAATACACTATATCGCCTCGAGCGAAAGGGAAACGTGATACGGTGAGTGTCACACCGCAAAAATTTCGATTACGCATGAACGCGTTCAGAAAGAACGTCACTGGTTCATTTTTTTCTAACTTTGTTTACGATACCAGGGGGTGGAACTACACATGTAACAAAATTGTAGTTGGAAACATTTCATTTTTTTTTTATATTCGAAATCAATTTATTTCTTACTCCGTATTGACGTTTCCACAAATGGCTTCAAACGAAATGCTTTCTTCATTAATTTTTATATTAATTATCATAATTTTTATAATTAACATCGCAACCGTTCAGTCGTGTGAAACAACTCATTTTAATAGAGATAGAAGTTTAAGCGGTTACGTTTAAAAAAGTTTTCTGCAGAAATTCCAGGATGGTCTCTAAAAATTCTGCAGAAAAATATCTATAGCCGGAGGCCAGGTCGAAAGTATTTTAAAGTCATTTCAAACTTCTCTGACGAAATTTACATTTTTCTCTTTCAATACGGACAGATGGTGTATAATAATTTATCTTCATTGACAAAATTAGATATACGTAAAATATACTTAATAAAGTTTTAAAAATTTCTACTTCACTAATAAAGAACTCTTTTTATTAATTTAACCATTGGGTAACAGATAACATGGATAAATAGTCGGTAAAAAATGACCCAATACTAAAAATTTATTCATTCTATACTTGAAGTAACATATACAATTACCTATTTCATAATTAAACAGAACTATTCTTCCCTTCTAAAAATTGTATCACTACTGAATTACTTAGAAGAAGCAGTTTCAAGTGCATATAAGACAAATTAAAGGGTGGATCTTGAGTGACACATCACACTTCATTCATGAATTAATTTTGAATTTCTACGAGTATAAAAATATTCTGTAACAAAGCTAATATTGATCAAAGAAAAATATTCACCCAGTTGCATTGTTTGATTACATGAAAAAATTGTTGAAAAACTATGGTTACCACCGCGCAGGTGCTTTCTTAATCACTTCTATTTTTTGCGGTTTGCAATTTCATAGATGAGACCACGTTCATACCATTCAGATGAATTCGTGCAAATACAGGTGATTGGTTGATTGCACATACGGGATCGAACGTAGTTCGACTTCAGTTTTAAATATTGAAAACGTCAGGGCTTTGAGGTAGAACCGACAGGCTGCCGCGGACAGGAAGCCTCGCGTTTTGTTTGACGTTCAACGTATTTTCAGAAATTTCAACATCGTATGCAGTCTAAAAATCCATTTCAGCGTAGATAGCTCGGAATCACAAGCGGAAACGGGAAACCGTGACAACCGTATTTCCTCGTGCACAAGGACCACCAAACGTTCGAGCACCATTTTAATAACAGCTCATGTAAAAAGCTCGACGCTCGTGTCATCAATGTATCGATAATACGTCTGTTGCATACATTTTTTTTTTTTTTCACTTAAATTGATTGTGCATTGTAATTAAATTGTTAGCTTAGATCCTTGTTACTTTATCAGAACATTCAAAGGAGTTGAAGATTATTCATTAATAAAACCAATTAACGATACATCTTCAAACAAGAACAATATCATGATTAAATACTAATCTAAATTATGAAGATAAAAGAGCAAAAGCTTTTTATAATACATTCTTTGATTCTTTTTAAATTATAATGAAGTTCTGGATTCGAGGCCCGTGACGCGTGTACTCGAACTTCCGTGCACGATTCTTTCGGGTCTATTTTTCTGATAATTACAAGAAGGAAAAACAATGGACTCAATCACGCTACGGAACAATGGCGAAATACAACAATTGCGTGTAGGACCCCCCATGAAGATACGAGCCCAGCTGGTAATTGGACGTTGGCTTGCAGGGAGCCCTACGTGCCAAGTGCTCAAACCCCTTCGCCGCTAGATACTTGCATTGTTTATGCCTCTCGTTCGTTCTACGTGCATCTTGTATAGTTAGAACGGGTCTACCACAACGATACGCAGTTAAGGGCAAGCGATTCTGTCACTGCTTACTCATTGTTGCCCTGAAAAAAGGATCACGTGAAACGAGATGTCCCGTTAATCAATTAAGATCCTGCGGTTGTTAACGTGTCGAATTCTGTGAAGTAATCGATGATTAATACTACAAATTTAATACCTTGACTAGAGTGTTAATTAATATTTATAATGGATTAACTGAAAAATGAAATTGAAGGTAATTCTAATTTAAAAAAATGTAATAACAATTAATTAATGACAGTGTATAGTTATCAGTAAATGGGAATAAAGATATTAACTGATAATTTGAAAAATCTTTAAAGAAATGCTGAACAATTACTTTCAGTTTCGATTTATGTATTTAATCAACAATGTTCCCGAGGGATGAACTATGAATCGTCCATAACATTTGTGGTATTTCTCACTTCTTACTCGATTTCCGTCTAAAACCATGAATTTAGTTTTCTACATAGCCCAGGGCGATACGTGAAATAATACCAACGCGGCGACCATAGTCAATTTCAATTGAAATGAACGGTCCGATTCGCCATACGCACCAATTTGGATGCGATTTCCAACCCTCCACTTGCTGGGACCCCTCAAACTTTGTATTTTTTCAATTCGAGGGTATCTTTAAATAGAATGTGTTAAACTTTATAATTCTTTAAATTTTGATTAAAATTGGAAACTCTCAGAAAAGAAATAATTATGCAACCTTGTTAAATAAATTAAGTTCTTCAAAAATAACAAAATGCGCTATAAATTATAAACCGTGCCCTTTTTGAAATTATTAATTATTTCAACCTTTGTTTATTATGGTTGACAATGTTATACTTAAAATTTCACACCTTGATATATTATTTTTTGTGTCACTACATTTCCCTCTTTTATATTTACAATTTCAGCCCTGCATAATTATATACTTTATACACTTAATAAATATGTACAAAGTAAAATTGTATAACTTTTTTAAAATTCATACATTCATGTTCAAAGTGAAATAAGATAATAACACGTCTTCGAAGATGTATTACAGTAAACGTTCGAATTAAAGAGGTAAACGTACGTTGCGAGGGTTTATTAAAATAGTAATTCCTTGTTTAAAATCGCGACTTCTTCGATAATATTCGGTTGGTTTACTTTATGCAAGGTGTATGACGAGACGTGAATAAATTCGCTGCAAGCTTCGTTGAATGTATTAGCAACTCTGTTGAACCAGTTTCACGCGTTATAATTAACCGTCGCACGCAGAAGGGAACCTAAATACTGCGATATTACGGATAATAATAATACTGTTACAGGTGTCTGTAATAAATAATTGGAGTTCGAATTGGTAAAGGAAAGCGTGTCTTCGCATTAATGAAAACGAAATTATCGTTTCGCCTGTTCGTCGCAAATGATCCGTGAATTTTTCCTGCGAGCGTATCCCAGTTTATGGATCCGATTCTAGCAATTAAAGTATAAAAACATCGTTCCCTTCGTCGTTTGAATCGCAAAGTTCTTCTTTCAAAGCTTGGATAACCAGTACCTCCTCTCGACGGCCCGTTGCCTTTTATTTTCTTCACCGGCAACAGCGTAAGGGGCTTGAAAAGAAGAAGTTTTAAACTGCGGGAGCGTAAGGAAAATGCTTTTCTTTTAATAATTTCAGATAAATACGGCGAAGAGAGAGGAGCCGAGTGCTGTCTTTTGTGCGCGCCCGGCTGGATCTGTAAAACTTTCCCGGTAATTGACGACCCCTTTTTTTTCTTGGATTAATTCAACGAGAATTTGTGACCGAAACCGAAGTCGAGGAGGAGTTTTATAACGTTATATTATTATTTTCCTCCTATACAGTACATCAAATTTTGAAATGTAAAATAATTATTAGAATGTAACTTAAGTGTCACGGTTTCCTTGAACGACCCAGTATCCACCATCCTAAGATTAATTCTAAATTTTGAAAAAAATATTTTTTGCAACATCGATTAAGTTTTGTTATCAAGTACCTAATGCAAATAGAAACGGCGATCAAATGTAATAGAACAATCAGCTTGTCTCTATACTTTTGTGTTAACAAGGAAATCGAAGCGAGTGAATGGCAGACGAGATGGACAAAACGTTGTCGACGGAAATGTCCCGAAAATTTCAAGCTGATACGAATGTCTGAAAGCAAAAAAGCAAGCCGGAGCACTCAGAGCGCAACTTTTCCATCGGCGTTCAGCCCGGGGGCGTAAAATCGTGAGGTCTGGGGCTCCCTTTGCTATCCGCGTATTCACGGCCCGAGGTCTGAGATTCTGGCCATCTGTCGAAAATCCTGATTTTACATTTTCCTTCTCCGCGTTGTAAGTAAATCGCAAATCATGGCTGCTACACGATCACACTTTTTGCTTCGATTCATGCAATACCTTTTTATATTTGTTAAATAAATTCTTTAAAGGACCTTTTCTTTAATTGTATCAAGGATACAATGTACTCTCTTAAAATGTATAATGTACAGAGGCATCTATAAACAGTACCTGTTATAAATACCCGAAAGAAGAACCAGTAGCCGATAATTAAAGGTGAAGCTGAACCTTTTTCAATTTCTCCGACATGCCACGCGATTCAATTTCACAGAAGCTCCCGGAACGTAGATTCTCGGACTTCGGGCTGTTCACGAGTCCTGGAGCGGCGGTCGCGAAATTTCTAGCAGCAGCACCGGCAATCGTGGGAATCGTTGTTCACGAAATTTTAACGAAAATCCTGGCAAGCTTTGTCCGTTGAAGCGAATGGTGGCTACGAAATGTCTGCGGCACCGTAGCCCCCCGAACTTCGGTAATCATACAGTCCGGTGCACCACAAAGCAAATCTACGCATAGCAATCTCCTTCTCGTGGAACACCTTTATTTGATAAGTCGAAATAACGGACGATAGCCTTATCAAATCACGACCGGCAATGTGCTTATCAACGATTCTTATCAACGTTACTAAGTTATTTTGAAATCTTTTGGATCTTGACCAACAAAGCGACGACTTAATGCTTTTTCTTAATTATCTGTGGGGGAGACCCACCTTGATTCATAAATTAACGTTTATTTATTTTGATTGATAAATGAGAATAATTAAGAGATTTATGAAAACATGATAAATGGTAATTTGTTTCTTATAGAACGTTTTTGTTGCGTTTATAGTGGTACTGTTATATTGATATTACACTTAATTAGTCAATAAATTATGTATTATAATTTTATTTGATTTTATTCAGTTCATAAGTGATTGTATAGCTGTTGGATTTGAATTGCTCGAAGTATCATTTAATTTTGCTTTAATTAATTTTTTTAAATAATAACACTCCTGCAAGAAATTATTCTTATTAGCAATCTATATTTTTTATACTTTTTTTCGTGCAAAATAAATCAATAAACACTGATTTCACGATAATATTTTTAGATCAGAAGTTGACTGTTATAGGCAACCGATATCAATGGGGTAGGTGAAATAAATCTGTTCTTAAACAAATGTAGATGAAGAGCTGGGAGGATTTCCGGAAGATGTCAAGATCGCCGCAACCACAATCACTCAGAATGTCTTCCTCGGTTACAGCGTTCATATATCCCATGAGAAACCCCTTTTTCTCTTACCACCGTGGATAGATTATTGGTACGGCGATAGAACTTAATTGACTAATACTTTGATTTTTGTCCACACGAACGTACTACTGAAACCGACATCCTACTTTTTCTTTCCACTAAGATTACTAAAATAATATAAGCAGAAAAAAAATTTTTCATGAAAGTGTTCACAAATATATTGACACAGATCTTGATAAAATAACGTTTATATTATTTAACATAATTATAAATTTGTTTAATCATAATGTCTCTGGCAAAACAATAACAGAAGCAATAGAAGTCTGTAATTACAAAACAGTAACTATCGCATTATGATACAATCAAAAACTGTATAAATATATTCCTGAAGTACTTAACATCTTTATTGGAGGCTCAATAGCTTCAGTACCTAAATAGAAATTACGTAAATTTTTTATTGTTATCGGTAGACATACACAGGTGCTCTATCCAATACGATAATATATTAGAATAAGTTCAGTGATGAATTTAGTACACCTGGAAAAAAAAGTTAATATAAAAGTTTTCTAGATCACCTGATCTTTCATTTAGAAAAATGATGGTCATTGATATGTTACTGTAGACAAATACATTATTTTTGCATCCCTAAGAACTGCTTATTTACTAGCGTTTAATAAACGAACCGCGATTAACGCACAGTGATCAGCATAACAAAAAGGGATTAACATGGACTAAGCATTTAACAAGAAAATGAACATTAAATACGTCAAAATATCATGAGACTGGCTGGCATGGGGTTTGGACGGTTTAGTTGGCTTTGATCTTTGTACGTAACGGTGCTCAAAGTCTGTTGCAACGGTGAATTATACCCTCCAACTCCTGTCGCTTAACAACAAAGCGACCTGTTTCGTTTGGTACACGTTTCCTCTCTCGTTCCTCTTTCCCGTTCTGCGGCCGTCCCGTGAATTTCTATCATCCCTTTACGTACGTCCGAAAAAAAGACGAAAAACGAGTTAATGTCTCGCGGTTGAATCTAAAGCATTCTCATGCTTTATATCATTTACCATAGAACAAAGAGGACTACCGTGTAGTTAATAACGACACGATCGTCTAACGCGTTTTAATGCACTTTTGTTTCGACGTTTATTTCTAAGTAAATCCACTGCGATGAGAAGGGACATCATCAAGGTGTTCTGCGTTGATTTTAATGAAATTTACACATGTGATAGTTTCTTGGAAATTATTTGACTCGTATTTTTTTTTTATTGACAACAATCTATATCTAGGGGATGAAAACAGCTCTCAAAGTTAGATACGAAAAACACCTTTTTTTCAATATTTTAAATATTACTCCTTTTAGGAAAAAAAACCACTTATGTCATTGAAAAATACGCAATTTTCATTCAGGCGATTTTTTTCTAGAAGGAGCAATTTTTGAAATATTGAAGATAAAACTTAATAATAAAATTTTCCCGCGTAAATGTTTAGGCGCGAAGGGCCTCCGTCACTTCCAGCGCCATTTTATTTAACCTATAAATAAAATACTCTGTTGCAACCTAAGGGAAAAACGCCGGAAGAAACGCTAGATCATCGAAACCAGGGGGGAAACGATTCGCAAAATGTTCCAACGAAATTCTAGACTCGGATTGGGTCCGGGTTTAGGTCCACCCCCGCTTCTAACCACATATAAACGCTAAGGATAACCTAGAATTTCATACGCAAGATCTATAGAGCCTAGGCAATAACGTTTAGCGATAATTCTAGGGTAGCCCAGCCACGAGCCCTCGGGCTTTACAAATGACTTATGCTCGCTGAAGTTATTTGAACTCCTCGGTGCATCGGGTGGCACCGTGAATCGTCCTCAACGTCTTTGTCGATGCGCTGTGTAAATGTTAGCACACAAGACGTATGCGAATCTCGTCCTGTTGTCTCGCGGATGGAACGGCAGATCTTGTCTGGTAAAATTGAACGCGGACCTGTACTGTTTCAACGTGAAAAGGATATGTTAAAGCGCGCGAATGTTGAACCTTTTCCGATAATCATCTCTCGAGGCGTTTCAAACTTTCTTAATCATTTCACTGCTATGGACATATCATCCAATATAAAGTAGAAGTGTAATAGAAATCTTTGAAAAATACCTAATTTCCTAATGATTTCGGTGATAATTGTTTCTGTATCAAGGTACCATTAGTTCTGGACTAGATTGAACTGTGAATGGACGCTTCGCAAATGCAACTGCTGTTAATTTTCCGCGTGATCGTAAATGGATGGATCAGAACTGCTTGGCTAACTACAGGGGCTGTTTGAGGCCTGGCAATAAAGATAATTGCAATTTAATCCAGGTACGGTCGACAGAGGGAGGCGAAGTATGACTAAGGAACACGATCTCTCGCGTTGGGAGAAGTTGATCAAACCATCGCGCATACATGCGACCATACAATAACAAACGTTATGGGGTGTACCGTAGAAACAAAGAGATATAGAAAGGGGATAACGAAAGTTCGCGAAAGAAAATCGATAAAGAGGTACACGGATGATAATAACAGGAATACAGAGAAAGGAAAAGAAAAATTTCGAGCTGGGTAGAGTTTGGAACGAAAGGAAAGAGGAGAATAGAGAAGGAGGGAAGAGAAGCGTGGGTAGGGAAAGAGAAACCGTTGGGATCCCCAGCCTCCTGGCGTAATTCTGCTGGATGACAAGACGGGGGGTTAGAGGACAGGTGCTACTGACGCCTTTGATCTCTTCCGCATTACACGCTGCGGAGTATCGCGCTCAAAAAAGGGAATTATCAAAATATTCTGGCTGGTTGCGCCCGTTCCAGCGGAAAGAACAACGATCGATACCCGCTTAGGGTCATATCAACCGTAACATTCTCTTTGTTCCCCTTCTGTTCGTAGCTTCGAATCAGTCTTTGCCATTCTTTTTACATATTCCACCTGTGTTATCGATATACCTTGCGACCCGCCTTAGACAATATTGCACAATCACGAAAGGAGCTCCGTTCCCTTTTCCTCCCAGCCAAAGGATGATTCAAAAGAAATGTTGAAATTTGAATTTTTCAATCAGTATTATTTTAAATAAACTGAAATCACCCAGTCAACTGTAACGATCCAATCGAATCACCGAGTTAAGAATAAAAGCGAAGGCAATAAATTTCGCTTAAGAAAAATTAATGTCAAATATAAGAACCCAGCAAGACTGCTGTAATTTCGTTCTTTTTTTCTTTTTCCTTTTACAATGTTGAGTTATGTTATTGACGCGAAACGGTGTGTCAGAATGGCCGGAACGAGGAGGTACGTGATTTACAGCTTGTCGCCAGCGAGCATAATCGTAACTATTTATTGAATATCGTTTATCATTGACAAGATCCTGTGTTTCTGGGTGTCGCGAAAAATGGGTGGCATCGTCGCGCGTTAAAACGACCGAAAATACCAGCTATTAAGCGTTACGTTCCGTCAATCGACGTCCGTACGTGCCAATTACGATCGGCGTAAGAAACGAATTATCGATACTCGAAGCGATGCTTGCAGGCGTTGGTACGCCCGAGGAGGTGAACGTCTACCAACAGATAATCAGCACATGTCGTTCCCGTGGCTGTCGGGCAAAAACTAAGCGGCGAGATTCCCAATGGACACCGAAAGCTGTTGACGACAAATCGAGGGTTAAAATACTATCGGTAAATAGTGACTGGAACGAGGGGGACGATGCGTATCAGATGGCACAAGGGGGATTATAACCCTAATTTCGGCTATCCGCGTGACACTCTACTTTAAATGAAGTAGCCTCGTCTCTTCCAGGCCGGGAAATAATCAATCCTTGCTCTCTCGAGGAGGCCCGAGGATCGCTCGTTATCGAATTCCGTGATTGCTCGATCTCGTTCTGTGATCGATACAACTGTCGATCGACGTGGAAAGATTAAAACGTGACGTAAGTTACGTTTTCTCATTAACGATCGAAGGTACGCGTGGAATAGTCCATCACTCATGAATTTTAATTAAGTAAAAAATAAAGTGTAATGGAGTTTACAACATTGTAGTGAGATTCACAGAAAATTATTATTTTATAAATTAAGAAACGAAGTACTTATATCCTGTATACACATTAATCACAGCAATTATATTTGAGTGCAATTGTCTCAAATAATCTGATTCAATTAATCACGATTCAGAAAAAAACGTAAATCTGGAAAAATTCAGGAAATTGAGTTGCAATCTGAAGTGTATTAAAAAAGTAAATATAGCGCGTATCATCGATATCGAATCAATCATTGTAATTAATTAATTTCATACTCTCCAAT